GGTATATCATATTGCAATTTGATATACGGTTACTTTCGAAGGATGGTTTTCTTTTTCTGTTGACTTTTTTATTCTGAAATAAATCTCATTCAGATTCTGTGAATAATTCAAGAAAAAATTCACCTCTACTATTGAAAATGAAAGTAGTTTTTCCGATTCATTTCCATACGACTGAAGTAAATCTCGCTATAGAAAAGGTGCTGCGGGTGCTGAAGGTGCCGAAAAGGTGCTGAAGGTGCTGAAGGTGCTGAAAAGGTGCTGAGGTGCTGGGGGTTCCAAACCTGCACTTTCCCCCTTGGTTGTAATTCGAATTCATATTCGAACAATGACTATAGCTTTTGATTATTTTACTTAATCAAATTTATTTAATCGGTAATTTGTATTGATACAGTATTTCATTTATAGTATAGATCGAAATTAAACTGATTTTTCTTTTCTTATACGTTCATATATATAGTGGAGGACAAAATTTTAAGGCACTTTTCAGTTTCACTAATTTATTTAGAAAATAATCAACAAAAATACAATTTTATTTACAAGAAATGTCCACCTTTTGCTTTTAAACATTTTTGTATGCGCTCGGGCATTGATTCCACCAATTTTATGCACAAATCTTGATCGATGTTGTCCCATTCTTCTTGAAGCCGCTCCACCGCGGACGCTCTAGAATAAATTGGTTTCGATGCCAGCTTCTTGTCTATAATTGACCACAACATTTCTATCGGGTTCAAGTCAGGACGTTTTGGAGCCCAATCAAGTACATTCAGTTTCAATTTAGTGATTTTATCTTTGACTATGCCCGACGTATGCCATGGTGCAAGATCTTGTCGGTAAATCATTTTAGTTTTCTTCGGAAATTTTGCCATGGAACGCTTCAGTTCCGTTTGTAAGATGCTAAAATATAATTGACCATTCATATTTTCCGTGTAACTCTTGGCGATCGTTGTTCCAAAACCCGAGATACCGCCCCAAATTCCAGGGGTATGGGTGTGGGTGTTCCTCATCTCTCTTGGTCTACACCACACACCCACACCCTCAAGAATTTTGATTTTTCTATTTAGTTTTGAATGTTTTCTTTGAAAATTTTCAAACTTGAATAGATTAAGCCATCTGATGAGATCCTTAAGCAAGATCGAAACCGGTCATGGCAGCTTCTTCACACCCACGCCCTCAATATCTGCTAATTCTTTTCATCCAACTGTGAACACGCAAATGAAGCACAGTTCATTACGAAACCGTCTTATTACCGACTGACAAATATTGTATGATTCAATTATAGCTATCGCATTGCTATCAAACAAACAATGTGATTCTGATGCAGAACTGGGGTGTGTGGGTGTGAGTGGGTATTCATGCTGCTGCGGGTGTGATGACAAAACCAACATTAACGAACACCCTCACTGACACCCACATTCACACTCATCCACACCCTCAAGCCATCCTAGCAATTTCGGGAAAAATCAAGAAATCCTGATAAGTTCAAAGAATTTGGACAAACTGAAGGAATGAAGAACCGTATAATGAATGTGGCGTATTTACTTTATTTTTTATTTACGTAACTAAAGTAAAATAACTACAATAGCTAGTTAATTACTAGTAAAAGCAACAACAATAGTTACGTAGTTACGGGTGTGGGCGTGGGTCTGGATGTCAATGGATCAAGAAGAGACAAATCCAACGCCCACATCCACATCCAACTATTTTAGTTACTACGTAGTTACTTTGGTAAAGTAAAGGAAAAACGCCATCTCTACATTATATATAATGATAATACCGACACCAAATGCAATCGATCTTTCTTAGATAAAAATAAATTAAAATTTCCACAATATAAATGACAGAAGTTAAAATAAGAATGGTTAAAAGTTAAAATTGATGAATAAATAAGAGAAAAAAGTGATAATGAAACCAGAAAAATCAAACTTAATGAATATAATAGCCAGAACTGTTGACTTCGAACGAAGTTAGAAGAAACTGACGAATAGCATCGGCGATTAACCCATGCATGCGTGAAGTCAGATGCAAAGTGTCGAGAAAGACAAATTTTTCAGGATTACCGCAGAAATTCAATACTGTTGTCAAATTTACAGGATTCCAGCAGTTGGCAGTAGTATTTTTAAAATAATCCGACTTGCTCTGAACTGCTTTGGAGATAATCGACGTGATGTCAAAAATGTTCAATAATGTTTGTGAATTTTTTTGTTGAATTTCTTTAATGCCAGTCACTAGGGCTACATTTGATGCATTCGTCAATTCACTCAAAACATTTGCTGGTGCAAAACCCTGAAGATTTGGAACATATTGTGCGGGTATTTGATTGAATATTAGAAAGTTTTTGGCTCCAAGTTTGCGCAGATCTTGAACTCCATTTAATAAACTAGCTATAATTTCAGTTGGAGTTAGAGTCGGCTGAAATAAAAAATCATTGCTACCAGCCCAAATAATGTAGAGAGTACGTGCAAAATCAATTGTGTTTGAGTTACTTTGATTGAAATACATCTCAATTTGCTGCCGAACTCCTGGTACTTTGACGGTATTGATTGCTGTGGAGCCTTGAACAAAATTATTATCAGTTGTCGCACCACCGTACGCATAATTGAGAACACCGGGAACTTTTAGCTGATCTGTCCAGATGGGACCATTGCAAAATCGACCACGATAATAAGGAGGAACCAGAGGCCACTTGCGCTTTGACACTCGGTAAGCATTTCCATCATCCGAGTATGAGTCACCAAAGATTACCACGTTTTTGAATCGAAATTGTTCAACGTTTTCTGGATAGTCACGATGAATTACTAATAATAAGCTCAACAATAGGATAAATAGTAAATAATAGTTTCGTTTTGTGAAATCATCCATATTATGAATATTAATTCACCTTATTGCATTCTCATGAAAGTTTTAGTTACATTATGATCAATTTATAAATGTTCAATTTTGCTTTGGAAGAAACTATTGGGATTGAACTTTCTTCTCTTAATTACGTATGAGATGATGAAAAAAGAACAATGTTTCTTATAAAATAATTTTCGATTTGTATTTAAGATACTTGAGCAAATTTCTGTATAAATAATATTAAAAGATAAAACATTGTCACATAGAGAAAAAAAGTCCTCCGAGATAAGTTTATTCTTCGATTTGAAGTTTAAAAACACGATCTTATATTTACAAGCTTATCGACTGAAGATTATATCAAAATTGCTACCTGAATTTCAGCTATAAAGATTTAGAGATACATACATGTACTAGAATATTCATCATAAAGATTAAATTGTTCCGTCTATGATTTTCAAAAGTTACATCATAGTCATGCACGGATGCGAAATTTCTGTGCTATTCATGCCCATTTCGACTACGATTGAGTGCATTCGTTATTCGTGATACATACGTTTTTCGCCGATAAAATGTTTGAAGTTGTCTACACCATTGAGAAATCTTTGTACTAGAGGAATTGAACTCAAAAATGATTCATCAAAAGATTTTTCATTCAAATCTGTTGTATTAGTTGGATGGCATTGACTGATTAATATTGAACAGATAAAAACGAACCCAACCAACATTATGGTGGTCAAATTCATGGTTTTTAAATTCTATTAAGAAGAGACAAAATAATTTAAAAATCATTCTAGTAGTGTTTAACCTTTGGTGAACTATGTAATTTGTGAATTCGAAACGTTTGCTGAGAGCAAATGGTAACGCACGACTATTTATACCTAATTCACAAGGAGAAAAATAACAACTGACACGAAAATAAAAAACGAGTAGCGAAAAGAAACAAAGACAGAAAGAATATTTTTCTTCTCTAAATAATATATAGAATATGAAAATACCACATGGTGACAAAATGTATTGTGCTTCTTGTCAATAGTTTACCGAGTCTCAGTTCGAAGATATAACTTTTCAACAGCACTCTTTCTGAGATTTCTTGACGAGTGCATTGTTGAATTACATGATAAGAACCGTGCTGAATGTTACGTTGCTCGAGTTAATAGTTAAAGCAAACATTTCCACAATGCAGAGATCCAACAGATTCAAGTGAGAAGTTTCGATGGTTAATAATTCTTGCTAATAAACGCAGTAAATATGAAATTGGACAAGGTTGTTGTAGTCGATTTATATTTTCGACGACAAACTGTTAGAAATCTGCTGAGTAAAATGTTGAAAAAAACTAAACCCGTATAAAACGATAATGAAATACAGCTTTCAACATTAATAGCAGTATGTATAGACCTGAAGCCAAAAACCAAGATGTAATGAATGATAGAATCAACTAGGGTGTCTTTATTTGAAAAGAAAAACGACGACTGTAGGGAACGATTTACATAATACACAACAGACTAGCGTTTCAGAAATGTAAAAATTGAGAACCATCTGCCTCTCTATATTTTCGAAATATTTATAGAAGACAATATTTTCAACAACTGGTTCAAAAAAACTTAGCCATCTTCTAATGTTTTAAGGACTAAGTACTTCTGTGCAATTCTCTCATCTAAACTCGATGGAGTTACGTACGAGAGAGAAAGAAGTGTAGCAGTCTCTCGCTTACTTCCCATCTTTAGATCTTTCTCGTATCATTAATACCTTGATGCACTATTATTAAAGACAATTGTCAAGTATAAACACACATATAAAAATAAATAACTGATAGGGATTCTATTTTGTCTGAACTAATTTCAAGTCTCAAACATTAAACAACGATTGATCGATCATTCATTCATTTTCATTTTTTTGGCACCATATTTGCGAACGGTTACGCTGTTATCAAGTAATATCTTATCAGATTTTGAAACTATTAGTAAACATGTTTTGTGAATATAGTAATCGATTAAGAAAACCATATTGTACTCCATGTGTCGCATCTTATACGAAACGCCAGCATTTTTCAATGTAACCTTTATATAACACACTATTATAGATATCTTTCTTCAGGGTTTAACTCCCTTTCCCAAGTACCCATACTATGCCATGCCCCCCAGAGATAGACGGGTATCGAGATAGACGGCTATTGAGATATACGAGTTTGTTGTTTCTTTCGAATATAGATGATTTTTTAATCAAAGAAAAGAAGAAGGAAACAGAGAGCGAGACAGCCCGAACGGCTGTCCGAGCGTTGTAACAGAATAGCATTCAACAATTCATGAGATTTCTCCAAAATTGTGACTTGTTTTGATGCTTTTTATATGTGTTGGATTTGCTTGGTTTCTCTGGTCGAAAGGTCGACCTGACCCCTGTCGTATTATCAGCTTGTTTAGTGATGTGCAGGTCGTATTGGAGTTAAATGTTTGATGTATTGTTTCGTTGGATTATGATATTGAATATTTTCCTGTTGGATTGTCCTCTCGGATAGTCCGGTGCATGTATGGGAAGATTGTTGTGTATTTGTTTTGGTATTTTTATTGGATGGCATGACGTAAAATAAGCGATATTGGAACTTCGATTATCAGTTTTTTGAACTGATTGTTTTCTTTTTTATATTTTAATTATAGATGGATGACTGTTACCACATGTTGCAATACATGATGTGTTTGAATAACTAGTTTTTATCAGATTTAAGCGATGTGAACATCTATGAATTTAGTTACTTAAAAATTGGGAATTCTAATTGAAGCATTGTTTTTGCTAGATGTTGCATTTAATATTGATGACGAGTCCGATGAATGGAAGGCTCTTTTGAGATGGAGTAAACATTTCAGATTTTTTATTATTGAAAAATCTAAGAGTAATTCCTTTATGTGAGTATCAAGGATTGTAGTTCGTCAAGGGTTACGGTTGATGTATTCATTATTTTAATTTTAATAGGTTGAAAGAGATGTCGATATTAGGAACCTTTTTCTTTTTGTTGTAGGGAACTCATATGGGACTGTGTTAGTATGGTTTATTTAAATATGTATTTTCCCTTGATAGTGGAATAGGTTAGAATAGACGAATTTTCATTTTTTAATACTACAAACCGATAGTAGAACTATATTTTACTGATATTATTTGGAAAGATATAGAAACAAGCTATGATATATTACTTAACACAATGGTTATTGATGATAAAAACAGTTTGTCGATGTAGTTTCTAGATCAAATGTGAACATATACTTTTACTCTTAAACAATTAACAGTAATAATTCATTGAGTAAAATGGATCGATTCATGGAAGAATATAGTATATAGATGAAAGCGATGTTAAATTGTTAAATCTAGATCGAATGGGAGCGAATCTTAATATTTTACTCAAGATAACTCATCGAACTACTATTCATTTAATTTGAGAAGCTGTTGTTCGACTATATATTTAGTACATTCGAAGTATCTTGATTAGTATTCTCACGTATGTTTATGATTTAAGATGTCAACCAGTGATTTCGTTTCGTTCCTATCCGGTTTTTACTACAATAGGAAATCAATTATTAAAATCGTATATCTAAAAGAATTCGTTCTATTTACGATACCAATTAATTCATTGTTATATTATTAATAGTAATAAGGGTGATATTGACATAAAACAGTATCCTGTGGATAAGTATTACACCACTTCGAACTATATATTCAACTTGATCGTCGTCTGTTCGACTCCTTTATTGAATTAAACAATAAATGTTAAATACTAAGGAATATTTCTAATTTAATATATAGTTTTAATTTTTCCATGTAGTAAAACATTCTAAAGATACCTGATGATTGAACCCTTAAGCAAGCTTCGAAACGCGTCGTATTCTGCTTTGGATCTATATTTTGAGTGTTTAACATACCCTCAAGAGCCGAGAAGAATTGATAGTGCTTGTCTTTATATTACAGATTCATCAGTTTGTTTCACATATTCATGTGTATTTCTTTTATTTATTTAGATATGATATCTCAGTCGTTTCAATCATGTTCCTGTTTTTTTCCTAATAATGAGCATTAATAAATGTAAAATAGTTCATACTTTATTATGCTGTTGATATCGAACTATATATATTTTTCTTCATTATGATATTTTGATGTTTATACTTTATCTCGGTTACCTTGAAATGTGAAGGTTTGGGAATATACCAGTTATAATTAAAATAATATATGCAATAGTGAAAACAGACGGAGTTACTTTTTTTTCTACCATGTTCTAGTACTGTTTCGTCTCCGTCAAATAAATTGATATGAAGCTCTACGCTTCTATTTGCACAATATGCGATGCAAAAATGTTAATCTCCATAGTTTAGTCATTTAACAAGCTTTAGAAGTAATTCTCTTTTTATTGGAAAGAGCATCCAAACCACTATGCAAATGTTCAGTTAGCAAACTGAATATAATCCATTTCGCCACATAGCCCGAAGTTTCATTGGAGTAGCCTGAATCATAGTTTGCAACGCTATTCGATCCAGTTCCTTTACCTTTTGTCTGATCCTCCGAATCAATGTATTCACATTTTTTACTTCCCAATTATTTTCATACATCTTTCGTTCAAGTTGAGCCCAAACATATTCAATTGGACGAGCTTGAGGTACATTTGGAGGATTATCTTGGCGACGAACATATAGTACATTTTTCTCGTTTAAACGTGTCTGTACTACTTTTGCATAATGAGCATTGGCCAAGTCGGGCCAGCAGAGATAATTTCCATCATTATGATATCTTTTGATAAAAAGAAGTAGTCTCTTATTAATACACTCTTTAAGATATGTGTGTTGATTAATAGCTTGCTTGCTTCTATGAGCGTATATATCAGAAATACCTTTCGAAGAACAAGCCATCCAAATCATTACTTTTGGTTCAAATTTCTTTTTTCTTTGAAATTTAATGTTAGAAGGAGCTCTGCTTGGATCAGTAGAATAAAAATATCGATTACCACAGACATTGTTACCACTTAATTTAAAGTATTTTTCATCATCAAGAATCGGATCACAACCGTTCAACAACTGATGATATAATTTTCCACAGTTTTTTCGTGCTCGCTTTTCTTGTTCTTTGTTGTCCATTCTTGGAGCCTTCCGACGTTTTCTAATAACGACTGCTGTTCGTCTTCGTAGATTCCGTGAAATAGTTGACTGATGTACTTGAAAGCGTCGTGCCATTTTACGTTGACTAAGGCCACATCGATTGTTGACAGATTTGACAATGTCTTGCATATGCTCAGTGGTTAATTTCAATGGACGACCTGTTCGTCGTAGATCTTTGGTTGTTCTATATTTTAAATACTTACTTAATGCATAATATATGGTTTTTGATGGAATATTTTGTTTCATAAAATAATTTACCGTAGTTTTAACGGGCCGATTCGAAGAATCAAGATAGAAGTGACAAATGCGTTGTGATAGTGCTTCTCTTTCATCGCGTGTCATCTTCTAAATAAACAAATAACAACAGTGAATAGCATACTTGTAACGAAAAAGTATTTAGGTCACGTAAATATTCTTCAAATAACTATCGAGATGTATAGAATTGTGTAAATATGCTGGTAGGATGACGGACAACCAAATGTGGATCAGTATCAGCTATATATTTTGGCCACTGTGTATAATATTAACAACAATTCTATACAATCAATTTATTCTTGTCCAAAATGAGTTCTGTGTGTTGTCTTTCAATACAATCGAATACAATCGTACGTATTACAAAGCACAACTTTATTCTAACTTGGTTTGTTTAGAGCTGAACTGAACTGTCTCAATACAGTTCAACTAGTGCTCTAATACTGCTCTCTATTTCACATAGAACGCGAGTTTATATACTAGAGAGAGAATAAGAAAAATATAAATAGGAGAGAGAGAATATACATAGAGACAAAATTTATTGAGAGAGAAGGGGATACGGAGAAAGAAAAAGATATCTAGAGAGAAAAGATACACAGAAAGATTACGTACTGTTCAATGGGCGATTATGTGTTGTCATATGCAAGGATAAATATTAGTGATGTAAACTCAATTACGTCACTGCAGTATGTTCATCAGCTCTATGACTTACAAGTGAACGTCCAGAGGTTCATATAACCCCTATCTAATCTAGTCCTTTACGAGGGGCGTACTTCTTGGCACAATACTGTTCAACAGAGAACAAAATGTGCTATCAAATGATCTTCAATATGCTGTGAATGATTGCTTAGCAGTGACAAAATTAACAAAATTATTAGATTAAACTTAGATGATGAATACGCTTGCATATAAGATGAAAACAAAGAGCAACAATCAATCATAGGCAAATGATACTTGTAACTTGTATTACTTGAAATAAGATAATTTTCCTATCTTTTCTAGACTCATTATGTCTATTATGTGAATCATCGTTGAATTTTGTTATCAAAATAGTTTTTTTTTGTGTGTATATATTCTTCGTTCATCAATGAATATTGAACTCTTTCATATTAGTAATTTTCTGGGATCTTTTTGTTTTGAATCTAACAAATTCCCCATTGCTGTTCGATATAGATATAATTTTTAAAACAACTGTCTTCTCAAAAGAATATGTCTGTCAGTTCACAACAATCATTTCAACAAGAACTTACCGGTAATATTGAATGGCTATTTTTTCATTTTTGCTAAAAGTCGTTTTCTTGTGTTTCTTAGATGATACCCCAACTGAACACAAGATTGTAGATCAGCTACATCAATCACCGAAAGACGTAAATTATAAATATATCTGCGAAATCATTTGATACTATTTTCTCTTATTTCTATAGACCCATCGAACAATTTATAATACTCCAACAAAACCCTCAGTCCTAAAAGAGAATCAAGCTAAAATTAATAGCCAAGATATTCAAACAAATGATGAAATACCACCATTAGTCAACTTTTTGAGCTGTTATGTTAGTCTTACTCGGTATCAGGTAAATAGTCAATACAAAACATCGAAAACATTCACTATGGCTCATTATCTCTTAAAAATAACTTCATTCTAGGAAGATAATGACATCAATATTCTTATTGTAAATACTCCAGCAGATCTTGACCTCGAGCTGCAACAGTCACAAAAAGACAACGAGTTACTATCATTATATGATGTAGATTCATATCTAGAACATAAGAATCAAATGAATACTATGATTATTATTGATGTACCATGATACAAAATCTAAAGACCTATGTTCTCGTCTTTGCTAACTAAAATATTTATTTATACTGTAGTACTCTTTTGGATAATTCTTTTATTCTGAAATGTAGATCTTAACATTGCAGTTAATGTGATTATTGTGTGTCTTTGTTTTTTGTGTTCTGTTCTATCCATATAATTATTATATATATATATGTTCATTATTTACTGAATTTACTATATCGTTTCTAGATAAACTAGTACATTATTTTCAATAGCTATTATTATTAGCACGTCTTATTCACACAGTGTACCAAGTTTTGACCTTGAAAAGGGTAAGATCTTTGAAGAAAAAAAGATAAATGTCTTCAGTTTAAAAGTATGGCCAATAGATATCGATGTAGAACTACAATCAACTGTTCCAATCAAATCAAAAACACCAGATACAAATACTAATATATTATCGACATGCAGTTCAAATGTGAATTTGAACTTTCCTTGTGCAATGAGAAGAACAACAGCAGCTCTTACTTCATCTCTAGCATTACGAGGAGTAGATATTGTTATCTACGAAAGTACCGATGAATATTAATCGTAGACTTTCATTGAATTCTAATATGATAGAAGTAGTTCTATGTGGAACTTTATTTTGTATTGTAACATATTGCATTGAAATATTTTTGAAAATACCACATAATAAACATGTATCTATTTCTCTTTCATTGTATTGATTGTAGTTAGGAGGATGTCATAAATAGTGAACATGGTTCAAATCTACCGAATACACTTGAATGTCAAGAAACAAATAAAGATGATACGAACTTATATACTGTGACTGATAGTTTTCTTTACATTGCGGATAAGCTTCATGCTTGATTAGCTATGTCAGCATTAGCATGGTGATCAAATTATGTTGGTCACCCTTCAAATGATAAGAGATATGGTGGATTAACCAGTATCCATACAAATCGAAATGGGTATAGATACTCATATTTCCACAAGCTCGGCATACATGAGTAACTGCAATGCTTCATCGAGTTGATTATGGTAATCATACAAACTAAAGTGTTGTTATTTTGATTAGTCAAACCTTTCATGTGATGAAAAATATCCAGCAATAAATAAATATCTCATGTATTGATATATAGAATGATAGATATGAATCAGAAGATGAATATAAATTTGTTATCATTATTTTCTAATTTCAATTCTAGATTTTATTTTATTTTATTTTACAATGAGTAATTTATCGTTACACGACGAGAACGATTCAAATTCTAGCACAATAAAACAACACTCGGTAATAATCCATTTCATAATAGTCCATTTATACCAGTATTTTCTTTTTTCTTAAAGAAATATCGAGCAATGTTCGATTACTCATTGTCAACACCATGGTATCGAATAACAGCTGGGCCACATTCGAAGCAAGTTGATAAAAAGCACAAACTTCTTAAACATCCATTTCTAATTCAATGGAATCCGATGGACAGAATCGAACATCGTAAAAATCATAGTACGATTGACTCAAATCCAAAGCGAAGAAAAATAGACGATTAATTGAGTTTTTTTCTGTTACCTTTTCCTGCTATGCTCTATAAACTGTGTTACAATGAACTATATATTTATAGAATAAAAAATAAATACCGTATCATTTCTCTTTCTTTTGTAAACTCCGGAAAAGGGTGAACAGGAACCTCTTTGCTGGTAGTTTTCTGTAGGACATATATTCAATGTGGAATACACACAAGTCACATACGAGTGCTATTTGCAGTTATGCTTCTATACTTTTATAAAAATATAAAAATAAATTAGGAATACTTCTTCAAGGGTGAGCACTCAAAGCATTTCCTCTTTTATATTCTAGATCATAACATCTATAAATCGATGCCTTCATCAAATCAACGATCAACAAGTACAATTAATCGACCATTCACTATCGTTCCTACTAATAATTCAGAATTGATGCGACATACTTGTGCATTTCAATTCCCGGTAAACTATAATAATTTCTTTCCACAGATTACACATCAAAGACACACAATACATCCAGTTCAAAATGGTGCAAACAACAACAATGATGATATTCCTGAACAGTTATTATTAAACATCCATTTCTAATTCAATGGAATCCGATGGACAGAATCGAACATCGTAGAAATCATAGTACGATTGACTCAAATCCAAAGCGAAGAAAAATAGACGATTAATTGAGTCCTTTTCTGTTTCCTTTTCCCGCTATGCTCTATATACTGTGTTACAATGAACTGTATATTTATAGAATAAAAAATAAATACCGTATCATTTCTTTTTCTTTTGTAAACTCCGGAAAAGGGTGAACAGAAACCTCTTTGCGGGCAGTTTTCTGTAGGACATATATTCCATGTGGAATACACACAAGTCACATACTAGTGTTATTTGCAGTGATGCTTCTATACTTTTATAAAAATAAGAAAATAAATTAGGAATATTTCTTCAAAGGTGAGCACTCAAAGCATTTCCTCTTTTATATTCTAGATCATAACATCTATACATCGATGCCTTCATCAAATCAACGATCAACAAGTACAACTAATCGACCATTCACTATTATTCTTACTAATAATTCAGAACTGATGTGACATAATTGTGCGTTTCAATTCCCGGTAAACTATAATAATTTCTTTCTACAGATTGCACATCAAAGACACACAATACATTCAGTTCAAAATGGTGCAAACAACAATGATGATATTCTTGAACAATTATTAAATAATCTCTTAGGACTTGAATTACGAGATGAAGCTAGTGATTATCTTTCTTGGACATCGTGATCTTATCCACTTTAATATGTATACGATATGTCCGATATTGAAACACAACAATCGTGATGTCAAGAATATTTAATTTTGTTTAGTTTGCATTTTTTTTCCGAATTTTTTCTTTACATATAATGTCTAATATACATTGACCGTTGTATCACTATTACATTATTGATGGAAGTGAAGCAATATTAATTTTTGACTTGTACAATAAATAAATAAAAACTTGGAATTTCGACTATCAGAGCATAAACAATTATTTATTGTAGATTATCGATTAAAAAGAATGGCCTCATGGAATCGGCCACTCATTTATGGTCAGTCAACAACAGCAATTACACAGTCACGCTATTTTTTGATTACGATGACTAATTATCCAAATGCATTGTTAAGTACACAACAGTATCAAGAACCACCAATTCAGGTACTACGAAATGATTATGTAGACAGTCATCTCAAAAACTAGAAATATAAAGCTTGATATTTACGTTCTGTTTATTTTATTCTAGCAATATATACAACACTATCGGGGTGCCATATTCATACCCAATACATCCATTCGAATCGGCATCGATGGTTCGGAACAATATGAAAGATTCTTATATACTACATTAAGATTTGAATTAGAAGAATCAATTCGAACGTATCTTCAGCGAACCCAAAGATTATATCCAGTTAATTTGGTTTTCGATCTATCGAACATTAACCAACAAAGATAATTTGATGAGTGAACAATCTTCGTTCAAACCTTTGTTATTGCTATTATTCTTCATTTTTCTTCGTGTGCACATATATGTACTACTGTAAAAACTACTAATCTAGATTAGAAATAGAAACTAAAACATTATTGTATTCGAGAATATCTTCGTTCTAGCTCAAACCTTATTTTCTATTGTTTATTTTTCTAGATTATTATTTTCATCGAACAATGACATTCATGGATAAATAGAGCTCGAATTCTAATGAATACAAATGATGGACTAAAATATACCTTTTATTGGTTTTCCAATGATATTGTTTGAAACAATCTAAATAAAAGCATCTATAAGAATACTAGATAATATGTGGACATTGATTCAATTTGTTAGATTTTTCACGATTATTTTAGATATTAAAAGTTCTTGTGTGATTTATTTATGGCTGCAACAAATAATGATCACATTTCATTCATCAACAAAAGTGTAAGTGTAAATTTTTTTCTTGTGGGTGATGATTTTTTACTGATATTATATGTATTAGTTAGATACAATCGAAGGATTCGAGGATATCTTTGACATAATCGACGATGATAATGATACATTTGAATATACAATCGAAGAGTTGAATAAATACTTCATTTCTGGTCATTTGAATTCAATTCCAAATGAAGAAGAAATCATAGACGGTGAGAATATCTATGATTATATAGGTGATGATAACAACATGACCGAAGTAAAAAATTCTCTGCAAAGAATAAGCAGTCCAAAAACAAAGCATATTTGTTTTTCATGTAGGAAACACAAGAAGAAGAGATTTTGTCACAAAGTTTCAGTCAACTATCAACAGCAAGTGGCGATGAAGAAAGATCATTTGTAACTAATAAACGACAACGGTCGAATGTCGCATCTAGTCCAACTATTAGTTCAAAGAAAAGGAAAATAAATAATAATAATAATAATGATACTAATATTTATACAACTGAACGATGCCAAATACCGACATATCTATTGATACAGAATAAATTATTTGTTCATATGGCTCAAACCATCATAAAAACAGTTAGATATATTACTATGAATGATATCCAACAAATGGCTCTTTTAATGCATCAAATAGCTACTGTTCAAATAGATAGAGAAATCATGCAAGCATATTTACATTCAGTGAAGGGTACATTGAGAGAAGCAGAATGCCATTTTATTGAAGTTGATCGACGTTTTTGGCCCATGCAAGTTCAATCATTGATGTTAACACAACATAAATTAACTATGAATGATACAGATACTACTAGTGAAATAACAACACCGATGGAAATCGATACAGAAGATCAACAGATTGCTTGTGAAAATCTACTTAATGAACATTTACAAAAAATGAAACGACAAATTGAATACTATGAAAAAGAGCTTGATGAAAAACAAAGTACTTTTATCAGATTTACATCAACGATACAAGAAACAATCGAAATTCATGTTCAAACATATGGAATAAAACCACTTGAAATGAAACGAGATTTAAAATTAGCATTAGTCAACTATGATTATGATGCAGAAATGCTGCAACGTGAATACTTCCAACAGCAACCGAATAATTATCAAGTGAAGAAAATTTTAATCTCCTAAAATATTAATAAAACCATACTTTTTGTGTCATTTAGATTGAAGTTGCTAGATGTCTTTCCACTGCGAAAGCTGAAGTAGAAAAATCAAAAC